TTCTTTTTTTTTTTTTTTGAGACTGAGTCTCACACTATTGCCATGGGGTTGATATTCTTCAATTTTTATACAGAAGGGGTCTCTCACTCTTGCTCAGGCTGGTCTCAAACTCCTGAGCTAAAGCAATTCACCCACCTTGGCCTCTCAGATGCGATATACCCATTGTATATCATGATTATAACTTCTTTTTGGTGTTCAGGACTCTTTCCCTAGCATTTGGAACTCATGAGATTGAAAAGACAGTTTTCTCTATTAGAGGAGAATAAGAGTTCAATATCACTGCAAACATCAGGAGCACTGCAGTTAAAAGTCAACAGCCTAGCTTCTGTTATTTTTAAAAATCACTGAGTCCTGTACACTTTGACAGCCCACAAAGAGGAGCCTGCATGATTATTGGTGAAAAATCCTCTTTCCATAAACTGTACAGTGTAAGTGGAGACTGAACTATACTGCTTAAAAAACAAGGTATTCTCCATCAGATCAATAAAGACCTATTTCCAAGAATGGGAGAGTCATTCAATGGAGTGGGGAAATGTGCTTAGATCTGTTCTTTTTCTACTTAGTTATTCCCATTCTAATCTGTTCTTGTCTTCCTTTTCAGATCTCTTGCTACTTGACTACTAGCCAAATCTTTCGCTCTCTCCATAGCCACCTATTCAGCTTTTCAATGTATGAAACTTCTAGGGAAGTATCAGACAGGGGAAATGAAGAACTCAAGAAATTTTACCTCCAAATATGACTCCTTATTATGAAGAGTATTTCGAATTAAAGGCTCTCAGAGAGCAATAGTCCTTTGGAAGGGGCTTTCCCTCTAACTTGAGGGACCCATCAAAAGAACTGACCTCCCCCACCCTTATCTCAATATTCTGCAGGAAAGAAAATCAAGAATATAACCAGACCTGGCCCAAATCATTTAAAATATAATGCATGTCTCTCAGGTTAATTTACAAGTAAACCAACTTCCCTTCATCCATTCATCCTCTCCAGCAACCATTTATTGCCCCTAAACAGACTTACTTATATTTCTCATCTCTCCCTTCCCTCTAAAAGGCAGATCATAAAAATATCTGAATCCCACTGGGTTATTGGGTACTCGCACACTGATTCTCCCCATGCACACGATGGTAAATAAATTCCTTCCTCTTAATAATAATCTGCCCTAATTGTGCACTACTCTTTCAGAGAACTTTTGGAATAAAGGGGAAGTTTCCCCCTTACACCTACAGTATAATATGTTTATGTTGTTCTGATCAATTTTGTACAAATCATAATTGGAACAATGACTCATCTCAGAATAAAAATTTCAGTAACTAATACTTTATAGTCAAAAGAAAAAAATGGATGATGACAGTATGAAAGTTGACTATACAAATTGAGTCATTCTCATCATACCACAATAAGGCAGAGTCTAGGGGCCAAGGGAAAAAGCACGTGGGGCACATAGCATGTCCTCCAAGAATTAACTACAAATCCAGCTGGTGAAATCATCTACTTTGACTTTAAGACCAGTTTCACTCACTTTTGTCACTCACCTAGCAGAGCTTGCTAGCTCCCAAAAGCTTTTCTAGTGCCAATAAACTTGCAAAACAATACATGACACTTCTTTTTTTTTTTTTTTTTTTTTTGAGACAGAGCCTCAAGCTGTCCCCCTGGGCAGAGTGCCGTGGCATTACAGCTCACAGCAACCTCCAAC